GTAAGATGAAACAAAAGAGAATCTACATATTACTTTTAACAAATTGATATCAAAATGGCAGGTTATTTTACATATTCTGGGCAGATATCATTATCATGGTATATAAATTAGCATTTTTACAAAACTTTCTCTTTTTATGTTCTGTTCAGTCTGTAAGAATAGCACAGAATGGCTTTACATTCTTGCATTAAAGGTAAAGGTAAAGGTTCCCCTTGACAATTTTTGTCCTGTCATGTTCGACTCTAGGGGGCGGTGATCATCCCCGTTTCCAACCCATAGAGCCAGCGTTTTGTCCGAAGACAATCTTCCGTGGTCACATGGCCAGTGTGACTTAGACTCGGAACACTGTTACCTTCCCACCTGGGTGGTCCCTATTTATCTACTTGCATTTGCATGCTTTCAAACTGCTAGGTTGGCCTGAGCTGGGACAAGCAACGGGAGCTCACTCCGTCGCGTGGATTCGATCTTACGACTGCTGGTCTTCTGACCCTGCAGCACAGGCTTCTGCGGTTTAGCCCACAGCGCCACCACGTCTTGCATTACTACTTGTTTTATACAGCAAATAATAAAGAAACGTTATGGAATTTATATTCTAGCATGAAATCTGGAAAAGACCTTGTATTTAAATATTTACAGCAGCAGCAGAAATGGCAAACAGGTTTATTTGCTCTCAAGTAGGTATGTGCAGGATTGCAGCCTTGAATCTATGTCTGTAGTTCTACAAGTAGACGTTCTGTATGTATGACCAATCTCTTTCTTCCTTTCTCCAAAATCTAAATTGGAAAGTTATCGGGATCTTCCCACCCCTGATTGGGGAAGGGTCTTGACTGAGGACTGAGCTATGCTGGCAAACATGGCAGTCAGTCACAACTGGATTTTGTTCTACTTAAAAGTTTTTGTGTACAGCTGCGGTCTTAACTTATTGCAAATATAAAGTTTACAGTTTGTTTTTACTATGACATCAACGTTGATCCCAGATGCATAGACATTGTAGTTAAATATAATCAGTATACTGTACACGATTTATAGTTCAGTATAGTCACTATAGTATAGTATTATATTCAGGTTTTCCCAAGACTGAAAATGAAGAATGTAATGAATGTTATTCTGCCATAAGTGTTGTTTGCTAAAATTCAGCTAGGCTTGGTAGAGCAAAATGTTGGGTTACATTAATGAAGCAGTGCAAGTTACACAAAGCAGGAAAACTGCCTACATTCATTGTATGGAGTTAAGTGCTTTTTTTGTAACTTCGTGAAGTAAAAGAAGTAACATATTAAGCCTGAAATTTGAATACTTATAAAGAATATTGGCAAAAATAGATAACTCCTCTTTTAGTAATTTGTATTGTAAACATTTAGGCTGACAGATGGGCTTTCTATAGAGGAGCAAACTTGACCAAACTGAATTAAATAAACCATCATGAGTCCCATCAGGTAGAAAAGTGACATATAAATAGAAAAAACCTCCATTAGACAAAAAATATTTTATAACAGTAAAAGCAAAGTGTGCTGCTTATACAATGCCCCATAGTGCTTAAAGTTCATTCTAGGTGGTTTAGAACTTACAGGCTACACGTTGCCCCCCCCCACTAGCTAGGTACTCAATTTACTCACCATGGAGGGATGGAAGGTTGAGTCAATCTCAAGCCAGGTTCCTGAGCCTGTGATCAACGTCAGGTTATGAGCAGAGTCTTCATTGAAGTACTGCAGTTTAACCACTGTTCCACGAGTAGAAGTTGACATTGCGCCATTCAGCTCCTCTCTTATCACATCACGCAAATGTTATGCTGGGATAGCAGGAGGAAGAACAGGAAGGAAAACAGAAATTGCAGGATGCGCCCCTTAGATGTCAGAAAAGGTGTTGCCTGTCTCTTGCTTTTATTGCTGCCAATGTGTATTATTTTTATCTTCACACCTACCATGTTGCTGTAGTAACAGTTCTTTATATAGCACTAATGTGAAAACTGTTGTGTGTGATTATATGAATATCCTTTGTTCCCAGTGCATTCCAAAACATTTAAGCCTGTGACTGATCTTTCCTATACATTTGAGTTAAACTAACTTGCAGGGATCAGAATATTAAAATGAAATGAAGCATCCATCTAGTCACTACCTAGTGGGTGCTCCTAAATGGATACTTGCTGTGGCAGTAAGTGGAAACTGGGGAACCTTTTGAAAAACAAAGATGCTGTTGTGGGTTGTGTTGGCCGTAAGTGTGATAAAATATGAATATAATAAAACAAAAGATTTGCTGCATGATTTGTCTGCATTGAATCAATGTGGTACTTCTGACATAACAAGAAAAACTCATACATTTCCCTAAGAAACTGATGTTAAGAGAAATTGTTGCAAAAGTCTCACAATAATCTAGGGCACTTATGTTTCTTTTGTAGTGCATTTATTCTAGATTTTAAAATGGATTTTCCTCAATTCTGTAGGAAGAAGCATGCATATCCATTCTAACATCACACCTATAGGACCTATGATCTACTTTACGTAGTTCCCCATTGGGTGTCTTGTATTGTTTTTGTCATCAGCTCAGCTGAGTTTGTATGGGAGAAAAACACCTGAAGGCAGGATTAATGGCTGTGTTCTATATTCTTTGCCTGCATGCCTTTTTTGCTTGTAAATATGGCTGTTCCCACTTCTTTTTGCTTTATTCAGCTAGATCTTTGTTTAATCTCATGAGTATTTTTGTCGCAACAAGTTAATTCCTTAATGTCAGTTAATATTCTCCTTTGATTTTTTTGGTTGCAACTTAGTTTTCAGGTATTCGCAAAGGCTTTCATGGCCAGGATCTAATGGTTGTTGTGGGTTTTCCGGGTTCTTTGGCCATGTTGTGAAGGTTGTTCTTCCTAACGTTTCGCCAGTCTCTGGCCAGCATCTTCAGAGGACAGGAGTAGCACTCTATGCTCTGGGTGCTACTCCTGTCCTCTGAAGATGCTGGCCACTGAGACTAGTGAAATGTTAGGAAGAACAACCTTCAGAACCAAAGAGCCCGAAAAACCCACAACAACCATTAGTTTTCAGGCTTGAGGTACTGAGGTTTGTTGATGAACTGTGGGAGGGTACTGTTCTCCATAGAAATGACCTCCTATTCTGATCCATTTTCTGTCTTCTGGAGGACTCTGGGTGTGTGATGAACATTGTTGTGGTTCACCATGGAATGAACCATGGGCCATTCAATGTGGTAATCTTACAGAGAACTTGTTCAGATCATGCAATAACTGAAAATGAGCCCTAACTCCAGAGGAAGTTTAGAAATAAGATTATTCAATAGAAGCAGTAATTTTAGTGCTACGTACATCACAGAAATATTTTGCATGTTCTAGTAGAGCTGCTTTTTAGGAAAAACTTGAAAAATAAGTCAAAAATTGTTTACTAGAAATCTTGCACAAAAATATATGTGCATAAGTTTCTTTGGATTGAGTGATGGTACACAGATAGTTACTATATTCTTACTAGAAGTGACAAGTAACATATCTATACCTAGAAGGATCAGCATTTCTTTCTTAGTATAAGTAATATTTTCTATGAACTTTCAAATGTTACTTTAAATGTTACATTTTAGAGATTTCAAGAGGCATTTCAATAAGGGCATTTTAAGTTTATTCCAGTTTCTTAACAGTATTTTTAAGAAAGTAGCAGAGTGATCAACAAGTAATGTAACAGTGTTCTTTTTTTAAAGGCTAACATCAGCAGGTTTCTTCTCAAACCCTAAAACAGATAAGAATACATTACTCCTAAAAAATAACTTTCCAGAAAATGTTTCCTTGTTGGAAATTCTAATAGTAACAGTCACAGACTCATTTTATGTTTCCACTTTAGAAGTTTAATATACTTTGGAAATTATAGTGTATTTTGGGGGATGTTTATGTAGATAAAGCCCTTAAGTTTAAAAAAAGAATCCCTGTCCCCTCAGAATAAAAAATTAAAAAGAAGGATTTAGGCAGCAGATTCTCTGTTTGTTTGATTGATTGAATTGGATTGGATTTGTATACTGCCCCATTAGTGCATGCACTACACTCTGTGGATTATACAGTATTAAAAACTCAAATCCTCAATAAACCATAACAGCCAAAAATATGATTTTAAGAGTATAGCAAGAGAAAATACAATTCAATCAATACAGCAATAGAACAGACAATAATTATGGGTGATCACAGAACAAAGGGAAGGCAATAAGCCTTCAGAGAAAGTACAAAGAGTGAACAATAGATGTCCCGAGCCAGTGGCGCCTCAGGCAATGCCTTGAGAACTCTTTTTATTAACTTAGCATGATTACATAGTGTGTTGTGAGAATTCAGATAGGATACTAGTTACCTAATCGGCACTAGGATTAGCCAGAGAAACCCCTTGATCTAATGCTCTAACTCTAAGCAAAAGCGCAGAGTGAGGGGTTACCCCACACGCTGGGAGCCACCGCTCTCTGCCAGGAGTGTGTGCACGTCACTGAAACAGAATGTAGCTAACAACTTTTAGGCAGAAGATTCTCACAATAATTATAACCATAAATTATGAATAACCCTATGAAAAATCTAAACTTGATCAAAACATTTATAAAAAGTACAGAATTATTGAAAGCATTCAGGAGATTCAGGAAGCAGGTTTAAATAATTCAATCTTAACCATCTTTCTAAACAACCTGTCTTCAATGCATAGGCATGTTTAAAAGCCAGTAGCCAGAATGACAGTAGGAAGTGTGTTTTCCTTTTTCCCTTGATCTCAGTCTAACATCTTAACAGAGGGTCATAGGAATTGCTGTCATAAGGTCATTTTATTCCATAATCCTTTAAGCCACGATGACCATTTCCTATGGATTCCTCAAAGCACTGCACATGGGAATATTCTTTCTATTTTAGCTACCCCAAAAATGAACCTTGCTGTTGTTGTTTCACTTGTGCTTTTGTAATTGGTTCCTGTCATTGTCCTTCATGTGCACATCCAGCTGCTAAATAATTGCAGTACTAAAGAAATTTTGTGTATTTATCTTTTAATCAGGTTCAAGCCGTTTTTTCCATTTCAAGTTGTGCCTCCTGAAGAATATAGAGATCAGACCCTTACTATACAGGATTTCTCACTAACAGAAGGACGACTAAAAGTTTCCTTGATAGAATGTACAAGGTATGTCTGGGAAAAGAAAATGCATAATCTGCATAAAGCTGCCTTTGATCACTATTTTGCACCTTATGTGAACTATTTTCTCTATATTCTAGGTTTTCTAATGTCCAGCCTGGAGAACATTGCCAAAGGACTCAAAAGCTTGCCTTTTTGTGACACTTTGTGGTCCATGTCTGTTTTTCCCCCTTATAAACATAGTATTTTTAATGCTGTTCTTATAGATCTAAGAGGATTTTATTATTATTGCTAAATGTAAACTCTAAAATGTCTGGAACACCAGACTGATTATGTGCTTGTAATATTCATTCATTGTATGCTAAAACAAGACCTTAAGGGAAAATAAATAGGGGGTACAAATGAGAATACTAAGAAATGTTTGTTTTATAGCAGCAATGGCGAACCTACGGCACACATGCCACAGTTGGCACGTGGAGCCCTTTCTGCCAGCACGCGAGCCATAAATCGCCAGATCACTACTTTACCACCACCCCCGCCGCGCGCAGCCAAATCTGAGAAGGCGGCTGCAGCTGCGGTACTGGCGCTTTGGCAGGTGGGTCCAGAGCAGCTGGTGCTGGCAGCAGATCCAGAGTGGGGTCTCGAGAAACCTCCATGCCGGGATTCTCCCTTCCGCCGCCATTTCTGGTTCCGCCACCACCACTTCCAGTTCAGCGGCAGCAGCACACTGCCCACTATTTTTTGTTTTCCCCCAATTTGGGCATGCGAGCCCAAAAAGGTTTGCCACCACTGTTTTATAGGAATGAGAACACACCTTTAAAGCAGTGTCTGCTCTTCTGAGTTTAAAGGACTAGGACTCTGCCTCATATTGCACTATCTTTGTGGAAAAAATAGAAAGTCCCACAGCATCAAGAAGAGTCCCACACATAACTATATAGGGGGTTATTCTCAATGTTGCTTTTAATACTGGAGACATTCAGAAGGTACCTTGCCCCACAGGGATACGCTCCCAATCTTTTACTAGCTAAGAGAATGAGGAGAACAGAAGCTAAATTCCCTGCATGTATGTTGTAATGTCAAGTCTGAACACTTCTATTTGTCATTTTTTCCCACTAGAGGGTGCAAGTGCTTTATTGAACTTACATGTATGTTACATCTTAACTGTAGATGTGTGCATAGCTGCACATTCATGTGAACTAATGTGAGAAAATTCATTTAAAGTTAATGTATTAAATCAACTATAAATAATTAATTGTAACATACAATTATCGAATATATGGTTGTGTTAATGCCATGAATATCCTCGTATTTCAGATTACTTATTTTTGGTTCCTATGAGAGGGAAGTAACTGTTCATTGCACATTTGAATTGAGTGACAACGTTTGGGAAGAAAAACAAAGAAGTTTTATCAAAACGGTAAATACATATATGCTATTTTATATTTGTTGTACCAAAGGAATATTCTGTTAGTACCTCCCCAATATGTTCATCATGCTTAGAGAGAAATAGTCCCCCACTATTACTTTCTTCACATGGGCAAGTATGTCTCCACTGCAGACCTATTGATGGAGGGAGCTTTTGAATACTTGTCATGTCTTTCTTTCAGTAATGAGCAAAAACCTGTCTATCAAGTAGAATGAAATACAAAATAGCCATTTCTTTTCCTCAGGACGTACATCAAATGTAACTTCTGTAGCCCTAAGGAATATCTATTAAAATGTCTATTTAATCTTTTATTTAATCAGTTGAAACATTTTGTTACACAGCAGTGAACAATTGCATTAAAATAGTATGTATAAGCCTTATGGGCACGATCCCTTCTCTCAAATACCCATAGACACACACACATGGTCTAGAAAGTGTCAGCAACAGGCCTCAGTAAAACCTGTTCCATCACATTACACAGGAAAGATCTTCTTGCTCTTCTTATGTGTATACTCATGTGGCCATTATTTTCCTTCTTGAGGCCTTGGTCTGCAGGTTTTTTGAGTCCTAAGCAGTGGACAAGGGGTATAGGGGAAAGTGATGATGAGAAAAGAGAAGGCAGACATGTTTGTGCATTCTGTGTGACAGCCAAGTAATGCATAGAGAGCTGGGAGGTGTACAAAGAAATTTGTATATAGCCCTTTGCTAATCTCTCCTAGCTATACAGTAATGCTAAGCAGAAGAAAGGATCCAAGGGTAAATCGTGATACAACTTTTTTACTTTGAAGATAAGAAGCATAGTTAAAAGTTGTTTTGACTAGAGCTGTGGAGGTCGAGATAATGAGGGTCCAGCCCCATGGGGCCAGACGGTCCACTCACCGATGCGCTAATGCTGTGGGGTCTGCACTAGCATCCTATCGCTTGGAGATCGTTATCGCCAAGCCACTCTTCAACCTGGCAGAGAGGCTTGACGTCCCACCTCCTGCCAGGAGTGGCTTGGCGATCGCAGCCACTCTTCAACCTGGCAGAGAGGCTTGATGTCCCACCTCCTGCCAGGAGTGGCTCGGCGATCGCCATCTCTGGAGCGATAGAACAGGAGTGCAAACCCCCATTTCTAGTTTTGACAAATGTTTGATGTGACAGTTATCAAATGTGAGCTGGTGCATACTGGACAGAATTTTGGACTAAGAGTCGGGATGTGGGTTCATGACTCAGACATGGAAACTCATCATCGAATGGCAGTGGTAAACTGCTGCTTGAATGTCTCACATACCTTAAAAACCCTATTAGTGTCATCATAATTCAGAAGCAACTTGACTGCACATAACAGGCTGTATCAGTAATATGTATTTCTACTATTAGATTGTGGTAACTGAAGTTTTAGTTAGGTGAAAATTGGGGGTGGGGGAAGCAATTAAACTGTGAAATATTGTAAAAGTGTGGGAATTGGGTGGACAGGTGTACTAAATTAAACCTTGATAACTGGCCTGGGGTATTTATCTAAAATTGTAGAGCGAGGAAGTTTGAGTGGTTGCTTTCCCTTTTCTTACTGTAGTGTTTTGGGAACATATTACAGTCATCAACCCCAGCTTGATGGGAATGTAGAATGTTTTCGCTCTGAGTTGGTCGCTTTTGACAATTCACCAGTGGTTTTTTTTACTGTCAGCCATTTATAGAAGCTAGTTACTAGACTATTGCTACCAACCAGGTAAATGCTAAATGTACTTGTTTCCTGAAATATGCATGTTAAAGATTTAGCATCTGTTTTAATAAAACCCATATATTTTTAGCCTGTACAAGGTTTCTGCAACACTTGGTTCCCTAACACCAGAGCCAAAATAGCTTTAAAAGTTTGTGCACTGAAGAATGAGTGAAAACATTTGCCAATTCGTCTTCTGGTTTGGATAACTGATAATGTAGCATCCTGTACTTTTGTAGATCTTCTGTAGATTTCCCAAATAAGTATTTTCACTAGTTTCTGGTAATACTTTCCACAGGTAGTACCATTTTAAAGTTGCTTGTCAAAGGGTGTGAACTCTTTCATCTGGGGAGCCCAGAACGTGACAAGTAGTAACCTAGAGAAGCCCAAGTTCTAATTCCCACTGGGGAAGAAAACCTACTTGGTAACCTTGGACTGGGCACACTCTCAGTTATGAAAACCACAGGGTTGTTTTTATGGTTAAAGTATTACTTTCTCTTTGAAAGATGGGGAAAATGTAGTAAAAATAGTAGATGTCACAATGATAACCGATCTAATGACTTTAATAATAGGAAAATGATTGTTTATATTGAATGTGTTTTCAATATATATGAAAAGATATGTTAGTCAACTTTGTTTTGGGTTTTTGCCAAAGGAATTTTACCATCTTCCCCCTGTCTAGTTTGTATTGATCAGTTTGTGTTTGTCTGTGTGTGGTTATGTACACAACCATTTCTTTTACATGTGATATTTGCATAACTTTAAACACCAGGTGGCAGTATTGCTATTTATATGATCAAACTGAGTAGTAGAAATCAGTGAGTTTAAAAAAGCAGGAAAGATGGAACAGTATTGTAGTTTCTTTACTTACGGGAGACTTATCCTTAAAGTATTCTGGTGATATCAGCACTCAATTGTTTCAGCATATGACAGAATGCATACATTGGATTGATTGCTATTAATGGAAGCTTGATTCTCTTTCAGGAGCAAAACAGTAACCTAGGCTATTGGGAAATCACTCCCCTTTGGTTGGTAGCTGGCAAGAACATCTGCCAGACGGGCCTTCCTCATAAAGCTAGTCTTTTTTTTGTCTTTCAGGTACCATCAGTGCTGTATGTGACAAGGCCTTCCTCATAAAGCTAGTCTTTTTTTGGTCTTTCAGGCCACAGTTTTCCTTAGTTCAGTCTTCTGCCTGAGTCCCTTCCCCAAGAGATTATGCTAGAGAATTGCAGGACATTATTTGTGTCTTTTTTTTCACCTGACCTCCTTGTTGAAGAACTCAAGTGTGGCAGAACAGCTAAAACTCATCTTTCAGGAACATCCATATCTCTAGATGTTTCTTCCACTCATTTCTGATGCAGCAATACTGTCATAAAACAAAGCTATTCTCCAAAGTCACTGCTAAGTACCCAAGAAAACTTCAAATCTATGACTCTGGTTATTTGTTACAGTGGTTAATATTCTAGAGTTCAAACATTCTCACAGTGGCTAGAGCATTTCTCTGCATCTGCAGGTGTATAAATGTTTTCGCGAAAGCTTTCACGGCCAGGATCTAATGGTTGTTGTGGTTTTTTTGGGCTCTTTGGCCATGTTTGTTCTTCCTGTTCTGAAGAACAACCTTCAGAACGCAGCCAAAGAGCCCGAAAAACCCACAACAACCATTGCATAATGTTATTTTGCTTAAGTATTTTCCATAGTATGTGAGCCATCCATACAATTGCAGTTGATAGAGGAGAGTTTTATTCACCACATAGAGAAGCCTTTGTGCCCATTCCAAAACTGAAGGCCCTAGCTGGCCATAGATAAAATTTTGGCAAAAGCAGTAGCATCTTATATGCATCACTGTACCAAAACTGAAGTGTATTTGGATCTTGATTTTCTCAAAATACCTGGTGTAAAAATGCCAACTGATTGACAAAATGGTGGTGAAAGCTTCAGCAGTACATTTCAGAGACATTCTGCCTTCACTAAACACCATTTAAATCACCTCCCTGTTTTTTTGTTTTGCTGCGATGGAAGTTGCTTTGCAGTTTGACAATCCATTTAGTTTTCTGGTTGTCCCCAATATCTTATATTACAGCTTCCCTCAAAAGGTATACCCTTTAGATATTTTCTAGTGTGGCTGAGGAGGCCAATTCGAGAGTGACAAGCTCTTCCACACTGAAGACAAATACAAACTGTCCCCTGTCCAGTTCCCTGGTTTTGCTTGTTTTGGGACAGCCTCTTTGCCTCAGCCTGCTGTACAAGTGTCTCTTCAAATTGGGAGAGGCTGTGATGCACTGCCTGCCTCCAGGCTGAACGCTCAGACGTCAAGGTTTCCCATCTGTTGAAGTCCATTCCTAAGGCCTACAGATCCTGCTTGTAGATACCCTTGTATTGCAGCTGTGGTCTCCCTCCGGGGCGCTTTCCCTGTACTAATTCTCCATACAGGAGATCTTTTTGAATCTGACCATCAGCCATTCTCAAAACATGCTCAAGCCAATGTAGACGGTGCTGTTTCAGTAATGTATACATGCTAAAAATTCCAGCTCGTTCTAGGACTACTTTATTTGGAACTTTGCCCTGCCAGGTGATATCAAAAATGCGTCGGAATCAGCGCATATGGAAGTCGCTGTAGTACAGGAGTGTGCTCAGGACACAGGCTCTATAGACCTGGATTTTGGTGTACGCCGTCAGCTTCTTATTGAGCCATACTCTCTTTGTGAGTCTAGAGAACATGGTAGCTGCTTTCCAAATGCGTCTATCCAACTCGACATCTAGGGAGAGAGTGTCAGAGATCATTGAACCAAGGTACACAGTCATGAACAACCTCCAATTCTTGTGTGGAGATAGTAATAGAGGGAGGTGAGTCCACACCCTGGCCCATGACTTGTGTTTTCTTCAGGGTGTTAGTCCAAAGTCTCGGCAGGCCTTGCTAAAATGATTCATGTGTTGTTGGAGGTCTTCAGCAGAGTGGGCAACAATGGCTGCATCATCTGCGAAGAGGAAGTCCCGCGTGCATTTCAGTTGGACTTTGGTCTTTGCTCTTAATCTAGATTAAAGAGCTTTCCATCTGATCTAGTCCGGAGATAGACATCTTCTGTTGCAGTTCCAAAGGCGTGTTTCAGCATGACAGCAAAAAAGATCTCAAACAGGGTCGGCGCGAGGACACAGCCTTGTTTTACTCCACTTCGGATGTCAAAGGGATCTGATATTGAGCCATCAAAAACTACAGTGCCCTTCATTCCCTCATGGAAGGATCTGATGATGTTAAGGAGATGAGGTGGACATCCAATCTTGGGAAGTAGTTTAA